TTGCTGGCCACAGCACTTTTGTACCTGTACAGTCACATAGCAAAAGACTGTGTGAAGAAGGAATTTGGGATGAAAAAAATGCTGCTGAAAAGCAGCGCATATTCTTAAAGTAGAACATAAAGTAGATTCATTTTAAAACTTCTGAGCCCCAAAGTGATGACTTAAAGACTGTCAGAAGTGAGGGATATTGTGGAATTGCAGCTGAAGGTGGCACACTTCATGCCTGCCCCGCCCTGGGCAGGACTAGTTTAACTTGCAGGCCGTCATCCCACATGACTAAGATCAGGGTTTTCACTCAGAGAGGACACGAATGAGTGTGGCTGACAGAAAGGACGTCTGAAGGTATTTTGATTGATAAAGCTGTTCTGTAGACAAGCTAGGTAACACAAAGGTAGTGCATCAAGCTTTGTTTGCATCAGAAATATATTTTTTTAAGTAGTGATCATTTTTTCACAGTGTGTTTTTTGATTCTGTTAGATAAATTTATATTGTTTGCACATATTATGGTTTTTAACTATGGTAGAGGATAAAGCAAAAAAGGTCTTAAAGAGGAGAATTAGATTCTGAAGAAGCAAGAAACAACAGCTAGCAGCTTAAGAGGTTTGCTACAAAATGTGTAGGCACACAAGTGTTCTCAGTACTGGCACACCTGCACCTGACCTACTACTGTCCTCTTATGCCAAACTGTGGACAAATTGCTGCCTCTCTTCTTTTTCTTCTCACCCCTTGGCTTGCCTTTGCAGTTAAAAACTCCTTTAGCAAAGGAGCCTCTTGCTAACTTTTGGCTCCAGGCAGTGAAACCATGGCTTACATGCAGCCCTAATGTGCTGCTGCCAAGTGATAACATCATTTGTGTGTTTTATGGGAACCACTGACCATCATTTTTTTCCCCTTCTTTCCCCGTTTTTGTCCTTCCAAAAGGATTTTGCAGACACGATCCCTGGGCATGGTGGGATAATGGATCGCTTTGATTGTCAGTACTTGATGGCCACTTTTGTTCATGTCTATATCACGAGTTTCATAAGGTATGGACTTTTTACAATATTAACTACAGAAGCATGCACAGGAACTGTGCCATAATGAATGCACAGGAGTGCATTATGCATTATGTTAGCATAGCAGAGATTGCAGGTTGCTAAATAGGATTTATCCAGTCACTTCAAATACAGGACTATTAAGAAAACAGTGTCCCTGCCTAGGATTTGTGTTGGGTTCAAACTATGCCTGAATGTATCTGTGACAGCTGTTGAAGGTAACCTGTGTACCTGAAATACAAGAAAGTTTTGTGTAGCAGCCTATCGGAAATTTTATTAGAATTTACTGATTATGGAAAGGTGTAGGATGGGGTTTCAGGCAGGAGGGTTGTGCAGCATCTACTTTCCCTGTGTGGTTCCTAAAGAGCCTGTAGGTTGAGAGACTGCAGTTGTTTCCATGAGTTTCAATATTTCTCAGTTGCTTGGCTTGGGATTTTCTGTTTAAGATGAAAACGCTATAGTTCAAGAAAGGAGACGGCTTCCTAAAATATTGCTCATCTTCCCTGAACCACACCATCACTTTCAAGATGAAATCATGGGAATTGCAATTTTCTTATAACATACATTTTAGTTTCTGAGGCAGGGTGGCCCAAGAGGCCAAATCAAGATATGCCCATAGATTCATAAATGCATATGGCTAAATAATTATTAGATACCTAATCAGCAACAAATTCTTTGCCTTATATTTGGTTCATCTTAGAAGTAGATTGTAAGTGGCTAGCTAAAAATGAGGCTGATATTTAGAAAACCTTGGTTTAATTTGCAGTTTTCTTTACCGACTTGGCCAATTTCCCATTTAGTTCAGTAGTACATAGCTTATCTGGTAGGCAACAGATACTAAATAAAGATCTGCAAACAAAAAAAATTGATTGCAGTGATATAAGATGAATCAAGAAATCTTACTTGTCATAAGCCTTCTTAACATCCTCATTTGACAGCAAATAGAAATGCTTTTTAGTTTCTGTTTATATTTAGCTAAGAGTATGCTTTGCCAATAATGCTGGCCTGTGCCTCCTGAAGAGACCAGTCTGGGAGAAATCTGTAACTTGGCACCCTCAAGAAAGGGAAGGCATTGTTTGGGCAGCAAGAAGAAATCTAAAAGACTCATCAGAGCTGTGGTTACAAAAAAAATTTCTTTTTTTCATTGACAGGGGTCCAAATCCCAGCAAATTACTGAAACAACTGTTGATACTTCAGCCCGAACAACAATTAAGTGTGTATAAAACCCTGAAATCTCACCTCGTTGAAAAAGGGATCTTGCAGCCATCTCTAAGAGGATAGCTTGTCAAAACAGAAGACTAGAAGAACACTCCATCTACCAGAAGCCTGTGGAAAAACATTGCAAAAATGCACATAAATAATGGCTAAAGAAAGAGTAGTTTGTAGTCTGGAAAAGGTGAATGTTTCCTGAAATTAATGTGTATGTTATGACTTCCTACTAGGACACTAAAGATTTCTTACTCTTAAAATAATTCAAATGCTCACAAAGTAATGGTACACATGCTGTGCATTTTTGTTCCTGAGATGGATGGGAGTAGTTGTTCTTCAGCACCCAGCCTAACAGTCTTTGTATTTAAGAAAAAAAAATTATGAAATTCGCTTTAAGTTTCTAATGAATTATTTAAAGCTGTATATCTTAGCAATACCTTTTTGGTCTCCAATGGTTAATGAAGTGTAAACACATCAGGGAGGCAGTAACTTCTGTATAGGCTGATGCTGAAATTACTCTTGGCCAGAAAACACTTCTTAGCCTGGTCAAAGTAGTTCAAGCCTGCTGTATCAGACTATCTGTATTTACTTAGTTGTTATGAAGATTAAACCTAGCTCTGTTTTTTATTAAACAGCTTTCTTATTAAACCATTTCATGCTTTCAAAAGAAAAGGACATTTATGGAAATACAGCTGGGCATTGAAATACAGTTGGATAGTTTGGACTGTGGAGCTGCTTTTTTTTTGTTGTTAACATTGCACATCATACACAAGTGTAGATGTGAAGTAGAGATTACCTGAGAAAACCAAATTCTTCAGCCCAATAAACAGATCAGGGAGAATCTGAAGCTTAAGTCCCTAGTTTCCATGGCCAGGTCAGTGTCTGAAGAAATTCAAGCCTTATTCCTTGTGCCTCCTAACTACTTTGTAGAATTGGGATATTTCCTTCTTTTTAAAAGCACTTTGAGGTCCTGAGTAAAAAATGAGGTTTCAATGGTGTGTATCAGTGTGTTACTCAGTGAAGGCAGAAACTTTTATCTCATGAATGTGCACAGTGCAAGACAGGAGGCATGGTTCTTCTGCTGTGTGTTATTATTTATTAAGAAGATTGATCCTCAAGCAAGCTTAAGTAACCACAGAGGCATTTGAATGGAGAATTTTTACAGACAGCAGCTATTCTCTAGATTTAGTGGGATATATGAGGAGAACTAATGCTCTATTATTTTCAATCCTAGTTGTTTTACAACTTTTTTCAACATGTAACATGTCTTGATGCAAATAAAAATATGAACTTTTTTTGAAATGACAAAAATTACTGCTGTACAAACAGAAAGCACAAATGCCAATTTTGTTTTCATATACTGTATATTGATACAATTTCATTTTTCCAACTAATTGTAAATAAGTTTCTCCACATACCGATGCTGTATCTATGTCTGTGTATATAAATTATTAAAAGATGTATGTATATATACTAAAGATAAAATTTAAATGGTTGGTGCTACTTGAGGCTACAATCATGGAGAAAATCACTTGGGTGAGTGATAAGATGTATAAGTAAAATCCAAACTGCTTTTTATTGAACATAACATAGCTGAGACCACTGTGCATTCTGTTTTGCACTTGGGCTTGTACAGCTTGTGTATGGAAAGGCAGTCCCTTGTACATTCAACAAAATCCAATTCTAAAGTAATTCCTGTTCATGTCAAATATTGATAGTTATTAAATTATGTCTGACTTGGAGATTGCAGTACTGTAATGAAGGAACACTCCAAGAGGTGAAAATCATCACCTGCTGCTTGTCCATCAGTGGCTCCGTGACTTTATTAGTTGGAGGGCACTGAAGTTCAGCCCTCGCTCCGGATAGAGCAGAACCTGAAGTTAAAAGATATCACAAGGGAAGAGAAAATGTGAAGGAAACTAAAGTAGAATATCTTCAAAATTAGCTTCTATATGAGACTTTGGTTATATATGGGACTCTGGTATATTTTATGATAAAACACAGCCATACTGGAGCTAGTATATCTTTATCCCGGGTATTAAAATATTGAAATATTTTAAAATTATATAGAGAATATATATATGTAAAAGGATAATTGTTACTTCAGAAACTTGAAATTTTTAGTGCAATTTTATAGCATGTAAAATAAGAAAGTTAAAATATATTTTAGTATTTAATATAACAGGGCATTTGAAATTAATTGCTGTGTGCGCAATAGAAAATTCAACACTGCGATTCTGCTTTTCAATGTTCACATGAAGATGGGATCACCTGTGAACTCACTCATCAATTTTCTAGGTAGAGTAATAGTTTCCTTCTGGTTTAGGCTTGGTGTAAATATGACTGAGCAGGATCTGTTACTGTGAAGTAACGCACATGCTTGGTTACTATAAAGATAATTTACCACACTGGCTACTTTTGTTAGTTCAAGCATTGCAACATGATCAACAAGGAAGTTAACTTTTTACACCAGTGACTCTTTTCACTTGCACTTTTGTCCCAAGTGGCTATAATTACCTGCAGAACAAAAAAGAAAAATGTATATTCTGTAAATATTGTAAATGGTATGAGCATTTAATGTCAGTTTTAGTTTGACTGTTTCAATCTTTCATTGAAGCAGGTGTTGTAAAAAAAATAAAATTGGGGCTGAAGTCCTCCTGTCTTTTATTTCCTATAGCATGTATAGTGGGTGGAATTTTCTTAACAAGAACTTATATTCCTTTGATTCCTTACATTTATGTACTTAATAGAAAGTCTGCTATTAATTTCCAACTTTTTGTCCCTCTGGACTTCAGACCTATCACTAGTCACTATTTGTGGTGCTGATGTGGTGGCAGCTGGCAGCTACCTCTCCCTGCTTTCCTGTTCCTTCCCTTTTAAGTCTTGGATTTGAGGCCTTTCATCTCCTGCAGCCTCAAACAAGCCAGGTAAAAAAATGCATCTTATTTCTAAATTGCACAGAGTGTAATGTTAAACCCTCAGCCAATTGGGTGTGTGCTGGGCACCTCCTTGGGTTTTAGGAAACTTGTGAAGAAGCATAGAGCTTTCCTGTGGTCTGTGTCTGCTTCCTAATGGTCTTCTGAGGAAAGGAAGAGGAAAATTAGCAGTGAGTTTTCTCCTGCTAGACTGATAATGTTTGGTACTGTTACTCGCACAGAGTCCTTTTGTCCAGCTGGTACTACTACCTAAATTGAAATTTCCCTTTATCTTGCAAGTAGTTTCCCAATTATTAAATAGATATTCAGTTCCTTGTTTAGCAATTTCAAATTGCATGAACTTTAGCGTGAGTCCTGTATCTGACAGGATGCCAAAAACAGGTGGGAATGTGTCACCCATAAACACACACCAATTTTAGGTCAGAAAATACCCTCGACATGATTGAGCCTAGGCATTAACCCAGCACTCCAAGTCCTCCATTAATGTACAGCTGAGTACTACGGACACTGGGATTTGTTCATTGGATGCATACTTCACCCTGACTTCTTAATACTGATGCTTGTTCCTTGGTGAATTACAAAGAATTATGTTTCGATCCCTAAAGGAGCAGGTGACAAAGATTGGTATTATAAGGATTTTGTTAACATGTACATACCCTTTGCAAGTGATTGTGTAAAGGTAGCATATTTTCATGGGAAAGTCAAGACTTGGCCCCCTTTAATTGCTACCAGGTGACTTGCACTTCTCTGTGTCAGGGTGCAATAGAAGCATTTTGCTTCCTCAAGTGGTTGCTGCTCCCATATGAAGTGACTGGGCCATTTGTCCCCAGCTCAGCAGGAACTTGAGTTTTGAGCAAGTTCCATGCAGTTTTCAGAGCAAGAGGCTGGTTTTCACTTCTGCTGTTGGGACCCTGCTCTTTGATTGCAGGAAGTGAAATACTTATGCTATCAGGCAGATATCATGCACACCTCTAAAGAAAACATATCGAGAGCTCTTATTGCCTAGTAGTGGCTTATATTACCTACCTAACTGGGGCTTATCATTGGAGGTTATATGTACTTGAAGGGTGTGTGTAGCTCTGCATACTTTGACCTTGTTTCTGATGTGACAAACTGTGATACAAACAGGCTGTTCTGGGATGGAGCAAGCTCTGCCAGACTCCATCTTGTGTCATGTCCAGCTGCACAAAAGAAGTTTCTGATTTCAGATGAAAGCAAACTTATAAGAGCATGTCTGTTGGCCCAGCTGGTCCCATGGACACCAAGGATGAGCCAGACACATCCCTGAGTCAAGTGCTGTCCAAGCGAGGGCAAGCCTGGCCCAGCCATCACAGAGAGCAGCACTGGCCAGGCTATCTCAGTGCCACCACACCCACAAGCACTGGCCATGCACCATCCACTCCTTCCTGGGAAGAGCCCCCAGTGCCTGGAGTGCAGGCAGGAGCTTGTCTGATGTCCACACAGCCCCTTTGTGACAGATCTCCCCTGTCCCTGGCATGGTGGCAACAACAGTCCCTGTTCAGGAGGGTACTCAGGGCTGTGTGCAGGGCATTCTTTGGCAACCACCCGTGAGTGCTCTGGTCCCTGTGCCAGGCAGGTGCCTGGAGATGGCTGCTCTGAGCCTCAGCAGTGTACTCTGAGAGAGTGACACAGGAAAGCACAGCAGGGATGGATGCAGGGCCAGTGCCTCAGGCATCTGGCTGTCCCCAGACCACCCTGCTGCCAGACTGTTCTTGGCCATGTCTTTGTGAAACCAGCCTATGATTGCCCTTCAGACAGACTACGATTAGATCTGTTTCATATTTTTACTACAAATACTTCACAAATAAAATTTATTGCACCTATCTATTTAGTAAGTATTAGATTTTCTTAACCTAAACTGTCAATTTACCCATTTCATCTGTTTCGGAATCTGAGGTATTCATGATTCCGAGATTGTAAAAGGTCTCTGTCTTTCTGCCCCGTTGCCAAAGAAGCCATAATTCATTGTGCTGTTTCCAAGGTTGTTTATTCTTGCTTATCTCTAACATGTTCTGCTGCCCTGCCGCAGATCTGTCCTGCAGGGCAGCGTGTGGGGCTCTGCCCCCAGTGGGATGTTACAAACATTATATACCAGAAACTACGTGTACTATATTTACAATAATGTGCCAATATCTATCACCTACGTTGAACAGTGTGTCCCCAGCCTAAACTAATAGAAAAATGCCAACACTACAGTGAAACATGGAGGGCATGAAGAAGAAGAAAAAGGACAAGACACACCCAATTTCCTCCATCTTGTCCCCTTTGAACCCCTAATCTAGAATCCTAAAATTTTACTTTTGCACCTGTGCCACACTTAATTATTACTTATATCAAACACTCAGAGCTTGTAATTCATCCTGTAAGATTGAAAACTCTTTTCCATGGACAGAGATCACAGACAGTGTCTCTGGGGGCTCTGTACAGGGGGGTTCCTGACACCCTGCCAGGGTCCCAGGCCTTCCAGGGAAGCCAGAGGGAAGCCCTGGATTCCCACACATCTGAGTTGTGTGTGTACAAAAAATTGGTTCAAGACCAAAAAGCTGAAATAAAATACAGTTTTAAATTTCACAGGGTATTTTTATTACCTCTAAGCAGGTGATGGCTCCTGCAGGCATCAGAACGATCTGAGTTACAGTTCTTATATCTGCTTAAGGTATAAGAACTGAGGGAGAAAATGGTTTTGTATAATTTCTTCTGTCTGCCATGGAAGGTGTGCACAGGCAGTGGGGCCTGGGTTCAGCTGCCAGGGCTTTGTGATGAGGGCTGCATGTGCCCAGAGACCTCTGTGGCCCTGCAGGGCCTTGCTCGGCCATGGCGGGCTGAAGGAGCGCAGAGCCCTGGGGTGCCACTCTCAGGAGAGCACTTCCCACAGGAGGCTGCATCTCCCCTGCAGCCCTGGCAGCCCTGCAGCAGAGAGTGTCAAGGACAGGCATGGAGAACCAGGCAAGGAATGCCAGCTCCCAGAGGCACAGGACTCTGCTGAGCCTGGACTGGATGTGCCAGGTGAGGGACGGGGCAGGAGGGACAGGCTGGCAGTGGGATGGGGCCACATGGCACTGCCTGGGCTTGCTGGCACTGTGAGGGATGCTGTGCCAAGGCAGCTGCCTCCATCCCACTCTTCCTCCTCCTGGTCTTGCTTCCCAAGGGTGCATCACAAGTTGCCAGAGGCCGCGCCTCTGGAGAGGCAGGTCTAGGCCTCGTCCCTCCATGAGGATAGGCTCCTCCACCCACAGAGCTCTCAGGATGGAGGGGGTGCCCCAGCCATCGTGTAAAGCAAGTGGAAACCTTTTCAAGGGCTGGAGAAAACTGGCCAGGCCCATCCCAGGGGCAGGGCTCCGCAGAGGAATGCCATCCTGCCACAGCAGCGGGACAGCCTGGAGGAAAAAGAGCCCCCAAAGCAGTAAGGCAAGGAGCAGCTTGCCTCCCTGACATGGTCTTGGTGGCTCCATGGTAGACCCAGGCAGGTGACTGGCATGGACAGGACAGGATGGGACAGGGGGATGAACCTCTGACCAGGGCCAGCTGCACTGTACCACTGCAGCCCTATCGTCTCCCACAGCACTGTTCCAGCAGCTGCTGCTGCCAGGTTTCCAGCAGGTATTTCCTGGAGGAAGCCAGGTGACCTTTACAAATAACAGAATCACTGAATCACATAGAATCACAAATATTAGCATTGGAAGGGCTCTTAGGAGACAGTCCAATCCAACACCCTGTTAAGGCATGGTCACCTTGAGCAGGTTACACACATAAAAGTTCAGGTGGCTTTGGAATGTCTCCAGAGGGAGAGACTACACAAACCTCCCTGGATAGCCTATTTCAGGGCTCTGCCACCTCAGTGTAAAGAAATTCTTACTCAAGCTGGGGAAGCACTAATCAAGAAATACCCCTCTCTCCTTCCTCACCTTCCAGGGAAACACATCTCGCAACCGTGGGCAGCCATCGCCAACAGGCCTGGAGGGTCTGGAGGCCATTTCGAGCTTGCAGAAGGTGCTGGAGTGGCTTGAAGTGCATGTTCCCAATGATCCAGAGGCCTTGGCCAAGGTGGATGAGGACTATGAAAACGAGACTGACAACGAGCAGCTCCATGAGATATTGGAAGAGGACATCACATCTCCAGTGCCCTCAGACATATGGGAGGACTACAGCCAAAGACAGGAGTCCCAAGACATGTCAGAAGTGGTCAGTGACCAAGAGCTGTTTCAACGGGAAGAAGATGAGAGCACAGCAGCAACAAGAGAGGCTATCAGCAAACTGCAGAGCACATCTCCTGCCCTGTTTGGTCCCATGGACACCAAAGATGAGCCTGCCATGTCCCCAACACAAGCATCACAGCAGCGAGGGGAGACTGGTCACACCACACCCACAAGCATTGGCCATGAACAATCTGTTTCTCCCTGGAAAGTGCCCTTAGTGCCAGGATTGCAGGCAGGAGCTTGCCTGTCGCCCTCACAGTCCCCTGGGGACAGATCTCCTTCCCTCACAGCCAGTCACACCACGGTGCAACAGCAGCGACAGTCCCTGTTCAGGAGGGCACTCAGGGCTGTGTGCAGGGTATTCCTTGGCACCCACCACCCACAGGAGCAGGAGCAGTAGTGCCCTGCTCCTAGCAGCAGGCAGGTACCTGGAGACAGCTGCTCTGATCCTCAGCAGTGGCCTCTGAGAGAGTGACACGGGGAAGCACAGCAGGGATGGATGCAGGGCCAGTTCTTCAGGCATCTGGCTGTCCCCAGGCCATCCTGCTGCCAGATTGTTCTTGGCCATGTCTTTGTGACACCAGTCTGTGATTCCCCTTCAGACATTATGATTAGATCTAGTTCATTTTTATTACACATATTTTGCAAATAGACTGTGTTCTATATGTACTTGTATATGATATGTTATAATTTTTCTTCAATAAAACTGTCAGTTTAGCCCAATTATAGAGTTGTGTGTGTACAAAAAATTGGTTCAACACAAAAAGCTGAGAAAAAGTACAGTTTGAAATTTCAGAGGGTACATTCATTACTTCTAAGCAGGTGATGGCTCCTGCAGGCATCAGAACCATCTGTCTTATAGTTCTTATATCTGCTTAAGAAAGATTCCTGCAGCAGGAGGGCAAGGAGCAGCTCTTGCCTCCCTGACGTGGCAGACCCAGACAGGTGAGTGCCATGGACAAGATGGGATGGGGTGGGATGGGATGGGATGGGATGGGATGGGATGGGATGGGATGGGATGGGATGGGATGGGATGGGATGGGATGGGATGGGATGGGATGGGATGGGATGGGATGGGATGGGATGGGATGGGATGGGATGGGATGGGATGGGATGGGATGGGATGGGATGGGATGGGATGGGATGGGATGGGATGGGATGGGATGGGATTCCCTCTGCCCAAGGCCAGCCACTGTGCCACAGCACTGCAGCCCCTTGAGTATATGGCATGTCTGCACTACACTGAGACATCCTAAATGGACAATAGCAGTAGGTGGCCTAGCATGAGCTGGAAATTATGAAGTCAGAAGAGTATTTAGAGTGTCCCTAAGGAAGGCTCTGGCCTAATGCTTTTGGTGTCAAAAATTATTGAGTACACCCCGTTTTTGAAAGGACCCTCCTTCTCCTCTCTAACAGTTCATCTCCCTTCTTAAGCTCAATTTGTAAGACTTAAAGAGCGTTAGACTAAGTAATAAGTGTGTGTCACTTGCAAACAGCCACACTTTGTGGACCCGGTTTTGTGACAATTGCACTGAATATGCTTTTCCCCTCTTTTGAACAGAGTGGTCCAAAAATACTGACTTGACTTTACTTTTTCCATAAGCATTTCACCAGGTACCTGAGTGAGGCAGCAGGACCTAAAACCTCTCCCGACCGGGCCTGGGTACCACTAGATGTCCCCGGCGTCCGCGCATCCCGCCACATTCCTCCTCATCCTGCCTGTCTCTTCTCCCAAGTAGCAAGCAACAGGATAAGCTCCACTAGGGGAGACACAGCTTGGTTATTAGGAAACTTTCTTCACCGAAAGAATGGCAAGGGACAGCCCCTCGTGGTAGAGGTCACAGGATTAAAGAACAGCTTCTACTGGGCAAAGCTGTGTCTCAGCATACTTACACTTGCACCAGGGGATACACTGTTTTGAGGCTAGAAATCTGGATGTTCTGACGTGTTTGGGGATTTCAGGATAATCTTGGTAACAGGCATTTTTAAAAATGCCTTATTTAAAAATCTTATTTTTTAAAATAAGAATTGGGTGTGTCAGAATGAGGAGCTGGCAGAGTCAGCTGCAGACAACTTCCTGTACATCCTAGAGCCCCTTAAATTTCTGGTCAAAATAGAGTATATTTTGGTACTGTGACCTATAGTGAGGTACCTCCTGCTGCTGAAGAGAGAGAACTTCTTCTCTCTTGAGAGCCAAGCAAGGACCAGCATTCCCTCCACATCCAGCAGCAGGGCAGGAGAGCAGCCATCACCCCTCCTTGCCTACTCCAGTGTACAACAGTGGCCAGCTCAGGTTCCAGTCTCATTCTTGTCTCTAGAAAGCACCTCTGTACTATGTCAGGAATGAAACCCTGACTCCCACAGTGGCTGTTTGTAGCAGAATGCTGTGATGCGGAGGTTGTCTGAGAAGGAAACTCCGTGTTTAGTTATCCTAAAGGGCAAGGCATTTATCTCCAAAGCCACAGGTCCCAGTTCCCAGTGCTCTCTCTGTCTTGTGAAACAACCATGTCTTTCTGGTCTCTTCTGGAAAAAACTGTCATTTGCAGACACTGCATGCCAAGCAACTTAGGGGGGGGGGATGTGGCAAGCCGTGATCTGGGTTTGATGTGTTCAGGAGAAGCAAGGATCTGCAGGCTAATCCTCAGGCTGAAAGAGACTCATGCTTTGAGCTGTCCCAAAAGCAGAAGTAGATGAACCTGGGGAGTTTTCATTTGAAAGCTTGTGGATATTTGTGTTGTCAAAACCTTCAGGGTCAGTTTGCAAGAATCCTGCAGAGCATATGTCTGGATTTGGAGATTTAAATACTCCTTAACCATTCTGTTTGTCTGAGCAAAAGTGACTTCAAGTGTATTTTGAGATATGGCTTCCCAAACATGTTGCAAAGGTTAAATGAAACTCTAGATTTTGCATTAACTGGAGCAGGCTTAATCAAAACATATTGTGTTAATCTGAAAGATTTTTTTATCTTGATGGACTTTCTTCTAGAGGCTTTTATACCCAGGCACTTAAGCAAAGTGGCCAAATTGTTCCTACCCCATGAAAAGAGTACTACTTCAAGGCTAAGCATAGTTAGAAATTAGAAATGAAAAATTTAGATTTTCAACTTGGGCTCAAAGCTATCTGACACCTTGTTACTAAACAGTTTTTCCCACACCTGAATGGCCCTCCTCTCTTCAGCAAAATGAATTTCCACCCAGTCCCAAGCTAGCTAATTTCAGCTTCAAACAAAAACTAGGGAGGTTGCCTGGCAAAGTGAATGGACATGATGGGAAGCTTTTTTCTCCAGCTTGCAGCATCCTTGGCTCTTCTAATGCCAGATGTACTTTCAAAAGCAGCATGTAAATTTAACCTTAACCTGCTCTGTTGTAAACGGACAAATTATAGCCATTACCCAACTAAAGTAATTTCACATAGCAAAAATACATATTTACAAACACTTCCTATTCAAAGGGAAAAAGAAGGCTTAGCTAGAAAAGAAGTTGTTTAAAATCTTAGTGGGTGACATAGACAGGGGATTGAGTGCAGCCACAGCAAGTTTGCCAATGACACCAAGCTGTGTGGTGTGGTGGACATGCTGGAGGGATGGATGCCATCCAAAGGGACCTTGACAGATTTGAGAGGTGGGCCCATGTGAACCTTATGAAGTTCAACAAGGTGCAAAATCCTGTACCTGGGTCAGGGCAATCCCAAGTACAATACAGGCTGGGCAGCAAAGGGATTGAAAGCAGCCCTGAGAAGAACTGGGGATATTGGTGGATGAGAAGCTTGACATGACCCAGTAATGTGCATCTACAGCCCCAAAAGCCAAATATGTCCTGGGCTGCATGAAAAGTGACACAAGAAGCAGGTAAAGGGAGATGATTTTGTCCCTCTACTCTGTTCTCCTAAGACCCCACCCTGAGTAATGTGTCCCCAACATGAGATGGACATGGAACTGTTGGAGGGAGTCTAGAGGACATCGCAAAGATCATCAGAGGGCTGGAGCACCTCTCTTATGAAAACAGCACCGGAGAGTTTGGGTTATTCAGCCTGGAGAAGAGAAAACCCTGAAGAGGCCTTCTAGCAGCCTTCCAGTATTGAAAAGGGCTACAAGAGAGATGAAGAGGGATTTTTTTCAAAGGGGATGTAGTGATAAAGGAAGAATGGCTTTAAAGTTTCCATGCCTGGAAGCATTCAAGGCCAGGTTGGATGGGACTTTGAGCCCCCTGCTAGGGTGGAATTGAAAAGAGTGCTAGTCTGCAGGCATTGGTGTATTTCAACTAATTTTTAAATCAAAGTCCTCTGAAGCTTTGGCTAGAAGACAACATAGTATTTTCCTTCTGCCTTCTCTTAAACAATGTGTCAGCATTGAGGTTATCATGTTTATTCATCTGGTATGCAGCAAATGTAATGCCACTGTTTTTGAACAGAGGCTGTAAGAAAAAACAGCTTGTAGATTTCTGCTGCTTTTAAGCTTTTTTCCTGTGAAAATCCCTGTACAGCAGGACAAAAGTATAGCCTGTCTTCTGCACATGGCATCATCCCTACCCATCAGATCACAAAGCGTAAGTCTCTAGAAGAAAGCCTGAAGTAATTTTTTATTTATTTACAGTGTAGAAATTCAACACAAAAGGTCAGAAGAAAGCATTTGCCAGAATCAGAAAAGGTCCCTTTGTGTACTTCATGGTTGGTTTTTAATTTGTGCAGAGATTTGGCATGCCTTCGGTACAAGGATTAAAGCCACTGATAACGCTAACTACAAAAAAATTCTTCTGGTTCATTACTGTTTCATTTGGTTTTGTGGCCAGAGTATCTGTATACTTACAATATGGGGAAAAGGTTCCAATTGTCTGATAACTTGAATGTTCCTGGGCTAAAAACTTTGAAAACTAGTAAAACAGATTTGAGGCATTTTCATCCAGTTTCTTTCATTCATGTCCCTTATCTGTTTGAAGGGCTTATTTTAAAACAAAATAAGTCAAAAAAGGAATGCAGCCCAAGAAACCCGAGGTTTTTTTCAACGGTCTCACCTGGAAGTTATCTGTCTTTAGCTGTGCTGTAAGACAGAAAGAGCTTCCAGTTTACACATTCCCATGCTTGAAAACTTCCACAGGTGAGCATTTATTGTTTTCATGCCACTGCCAGACAAAGCTATTTGGAGGATGAGAACTCTGAGCACCTCCCTGGAAGAATCTTAAGAGGTAAGAAGCCAAGCAGTGTGACTGAGCAATGATTTTTACATGATGTAGTCCTTCAGGGTTAAAATTCAAGGCAGGCAAACCACCACGAGGGTGCAGTGGTAAGGCAGCCTTTGTTGGCAGTGGCAGAAAGCTTTAATTTGCTGCTCATGTTCTAAGGGGTCAGATGATCTTTACATCAGCTCACTAAAGGAAATAATTTAAGCATAATTAACTTGAGCTAACACTGAAACTCTTGGGAATATGATGATGTTCAATGCAAGGGGTGATTTAACTTGCTCTTTATCAGGCATGTGATATTACTGTTTGAATTAAAACAAGTCTTAACTAAACTTGACCTAAGGGAATCAGATTGGGCAGGACCTGCTCGATTGGTGGAACCTCGGCTGTTAACTAAACAGGTGGCTTTTGCCAGATGCTGCACCCAAGTTTTGAAAGATCCCCCAGGCAATGCTTTCAAGGTGGTTTTTAACAGTCCATTGTACCTCTCCACTTTGCCTGCAGCTGGTGCATGGTAGGGGATGTGGTACACCCAC